AATCACTAAATCTATTTTTTTTTAGGTATTTAGACAGCAGTGCCAAAAGAAAACGCCCAATAACAATAGAACTCCGCATAAAAAGTTAGGGTGAGCTTATTGTTCTTAAATATTTCTAGATTTCCTAACAAAATTTTGGTATTTTATCATTTGCTGTTTGCTGGTTGTAAAATTTTTTTGTGGTATGAGACTTGTTTGAAAGAAAATTTTAACATTTATTTTGTATTTATAAAAAAAAAACAACTAAATCTTATGATCATTAGGTTTGTGAATAAATTAAGATTAATATTACAATGCCTGTGGTGACTATAAAACAAGCTTTATTATCAAATCATACACCAGTTAATCCATTGACTGAGACTGCTCTAAAACACGCATACAATTTTTGCAAGCCATACACCATATATGGCACACTTGCATTCACATGTCAGAAGCAGACCGTACCCTATGGGTTAATATTTTCAACTAACATGTATTGCAATTTCAAGCCATAGTGGAGAAATTTTTCAAATTTTTTGTTTTTCACTTAATAGAAGAAAGTTATTTTTTGGCAACCAATAATTACAAAATTCTAATATTCAGCCATAGGTCATTGTGGAAAGAAGATTTATTAACCTAAAACAATCAGATAAACTTAACTATAACATAAATATTTATAACAGTAACATATTATACTCTTCCATGTATTTTAATATATGATATACCATCAATGTATTTGTCCTTGTACGGTATGTATTGCTTTATTAATGTTCAGTTGTGTTTAATTAAATGTGGTTTTATTTAAATCCAGGGATGGTCAGCAAGGAATGGTTCATTATATATTTACTACATTTCTAGATATACAGTTAAACTATAAAACTGATAGTGACCTTTGCTTTAAAGATTACTTATAGTAAATGCTGTTAAAGAGAGAGAGAGTCCTTTACCATAAAACACACAGTTCTGACCAGGCATTATGCAATTTCCATCTTTTTTTTTATTCTCTCAAGGACATGACAACACTTTGTAGGCAACATAGTAGTCTGCATTGAATGTTTGCTTGAAATACATCATGCATAATTAGAAAATTCATGTTTTTGATTTTCTTATTTAAACTGGTTTCCATAAAAAACATGTAGATCCATTTTGTTCTTATAAATCAACTGTAGTAAATTAGAAAATATAAAATTATATACATGCATATTTTTTTGTGTTTCTTTGTAAACTGATTTTATTTTATAAAAACCTAAATTAATACAATTGGCTTACTTTGCATATTGGACATTAAAACCAACCAGTGGCATACATACTGCTGTAGCAGCCATGGCATTGTTAAAAGAAAGGTAGTAAAAAGATAAAACAATTTTACATACAAATAAACCATAGTCACTGATTAGCCAAAAGTCTACATAGAATCAGCATCGCAAGGACTGTTAAGTTTGGTTGCAATGAGACTTCGCTTATACCATAGACTAAGTTGTAAAGACTTCAAACTCCCATTGAAACTTATTGGAAAGCCCAGTTTACTAGAGGCATATAGCATATGGAGTACAGCTGCTAGTGTGACACATCAATAAAACGTGTTTACTAGAGGCATATAGCATATGGAGTACAGCTGCTAGTGTGACACATCAATAAAACATGTGTTTACTAGAGGCATATAGCATATGGAGTACAGCTGCTAGTGTGACACATCAATAAAACATGTGTTTACTAGAGGCATATAGCATATGGAGTACAGCTGCTAGTGTGACACATCAATAAAACATGTGTTTGGCAAACTCCACCTGCTGCATTCTTTCTTGATATATATACAGATTGTGAATCTATATTTACATTATAAAGTCAAGTTAAGGCATACTGACCGACCCTGTATAGAGTTGTGGTTGAGAAAATAACGGATAAAATATTGAACTTTTCTGAAAAAAAGTTTGCTATTTATTTAACAGGTTTATGCAAATGAAATTTGAAAATTTTCAGAGGAAGAAAAGTATTTTTAGTTATAACATGAAATCACTTTGCAATCAGAGCAGTCAACACTCTGACTCCATATATAAAATAACTGAACTTGGAGCAGTCAACACTCTGACTCCATTTATTTATGGATAAATGTTTAGTAGAATTACTTTAGAGCTCTGATTTTTTTTTTATCTACAAAATACTTCTAATGTATATTGAAGGTTTGCCAAATTCCATGAAGCTACATTAAGTACTTTCAGTGTTATAATCATGTAAAATACAAACCTGTTATTTTAAGACAGTTTAAGATGTGAAAATGCAGTGGGTACTGTCAGTTAAGTTTCATTTTACAACAACTCACTTGCAATAATAAGTCATCCTTTTGTGTCAGACATGTGGGCAACCTGTGGGCTTAGTCGCTTGGTTCAACTTTACACTCGTTGCAAAGAAATCTATTTGGGTTTTGGGTTGTGCTTTCATGAGTGGAGCACACAAGCCATCAACTCGAGGAAGTTTACGTGTGTGTAATAAAGAACTCGCACAGAGACAACTAAATACAAATCAAATAACTTCTTTATTTATTTATATGCTGTTGTGCATTTCATTTGTATTGAAACTCTCAAGGTTACCTAGAAACAACACTAATTCTAAATCATTGATTTCTTTGTTCTAAAGATCTAGGTGTTCATTAATGAGACCTTCCATTATATTCAGTAATATAGACACAATATTAGTTACGTTATCAATTAAACACAAGAAATTATTTTGGTCATAATCTGTATAACTGTATTAACAAATTCTTCTAAGATATCTTTGAGTAATTCTACTTTAAACATTTTCAAATCTACTATTTCTTTAAGTACAGTTAATATTCTTCTCTCTTTAAACATTATTGAACCTTAAGTGAAACACTATTAGACGAGATAAGAAATAACATATTTACTTATTATTGAACCTTAAGTGAAACACTTAAACCAGATCAGAAATAGCACTCTTGCTTGTAGATTCTGGGTTACTGGCATCTTCTCTCTTCTGGAGTTAGAACAATACCCTGTAACAACTTAATAAGTTTGGAGAAGTGATGTTTAGAGTCAGAAATACAGAATATATACACAATTCTTAATGTTTTTACAATTTTTCAAGAAGTTTAGCAGATCTATTTTTAAAAGTAGTTTTTTTAACTTGACTGGTAGAAGTAGGATTTTCCATTAACAAGTGGACTATTCCATGAGAATGTAACCAAAATCCACTTTGTTATTGGTCCTTACAGAACTTATTTCTGTCCCTTATATAATACCTTTGGCGAAATCATCCAAGACAATTAATTCAGGGTGTATAACGACGAACTGTGTAACTCATGTCTCTTCACTAAGATTAATTCACTCGTGAATTTTCCTTGCTATCATGTTAACTGTTTTTGGTGACATTGATTAATTTCGTCAAAAGCTTTATCTAAACATTTGGGGTTTTATCTCAATATACCACGTCTGTCTGGCACTAGAGTTTTTAACTGCAAATTTTCTTGCCTTTAAAGTCAAAACATGGAATGCGTCCCGGGCTAACTCCTGCAATGGGCTCCAAGTCTGTATCTTCCTTATTTGGTATTGTGGTTCACTAGTGTCCATGTGTTTTTTTATAATATTTTTGATCTGCTGCTTTCTCCATATGATACTTTATATACGTTGAAAACAAATAAAATGTACTTCTTGAAAATTGTTTTTTAAACATGGCAATGTTGAAACAGAGAAATGAAGTGAGAAGTACAGAACAGCCTGGGTCTTGTACAAGCTGCAAAAATAATAAAGGAGGCCTACTACAAACACATGGTGAAGATCAAGCAGAACTTGGAAAAAAGAGGTACAAAATGAGGGCATCAAAATTTCGATTGATGAATTTAATAACAAGAAATGTCCAACAGATAGGGCTAATTTTCCTCCTAATATTTATGATCAGTAAGTTAAGCTGTTTATAATATACCATGGATCATGCCAACTGAAAGGACCTTTCCTTAAGGATAAAGAACAAGGCAGTAGGTGTTTTTCAGAACATTACATTCATCACAGGTGCCTGATTATAGATAACATGTTTACCTTATTCACTCCAACCTGATTTTGTATATTATGAACTATGTTGGTTATTTGGTAGTTGTAGCAAGTTAGGGTTTGAACTTGCTTGGGCTAAATGAATCAGTAACTTCTCAAATAAAGTAGTAACATGAAACGTATATAGATTTTTGAATTTGATTCTGCAAAAGAGGACAGATGAAAATTGTCTTTCTATTATATTCCTTGTGGCAACTGTTTCCTTCCGATATATATATATATATATATATATATATATATATATATATATAGTATTAGTAT